CCTGTAGAGAGTTTCACTGTGTTGATCACAAATTTGACCATTTGTTTTGCTGACATAAATTCAGACTTCTTCATCTCCAGAGCCCCATAAAAGCAAAGTATTAGCCCAGCGTTGAGGGAATATTTATGGTTTTGTACTGTTTTCCTCAAGTTGTATGCTTCTCTCTGAGCACCATGTCTGCTGTGTCCATTTGTTTTCCCAGAGAAGCGGGTAAAAGTCAGACACAGTGGGGATGGAGCTCATCCAGGGCCACTGTGTCCAGCAGCAGCTGGAAAGCTAGGATTTTTTTTTTTTTTTGAAAGACCAGGTCTTCGTGCAGCGGTTACATTTGAATCCGTCAGTCAGCAAAGTCTCGAGTTGAGGACACAATTTCACCGGTGTCTGAGCTTCTTTCGCTGGCTTTATCAACCTCTCACCCCTGTGTTTTACAAGCCCTCCTTTTTTCTATAATGTTACATGTGTATTGTCCCCGGTATCCTTTTTATTTTTTAAAGTTTTATTGGTATACAATTTATATATTGTACAATGCGGTAGTTCTTTCATATTAAAAAGAAGAGTTATACGACTAATTTTACACCATTTTCAGTTTTAGAACATTTTCTTATTTCTTCTACTTGTTGTTAGCTCCCCATGTCCCCCCAACTGCCCTTGCCATACCTCTAAGAAACCATTAATCCAGTTCCTTTTTGTATAGATTTACTTATCCTGCATTTCATAGACAGAACGAACATATAAAACAGAACACCCCCCATAAACTAAACAATAAAGAATAAAAGGTAAAAATCTCAATCGAGTGTAACATGACAAAACTATAATAATTTATGAAGTATGAAGGGTTCATGAGTGAGGGGGGTAGGGAGGGAGGGGGAAAATGAGCAACTGATATTAAGGGCTAAAGTTGAAGGCAAATGTTTTGAGAATGATGAGGGCAACAAATGCACATATATGCTTGACACAATGGATGTATGTGTGGAATGTGATAAGAATTGTATGAGCCCCCAATAAAATAATTTTTAAAAAGAATCTCAATCGAAAAGAAAGCAGAAAATATTAAAAACTGCAACAAATTTGGCTCAAAAGGGAGACCCAATATAATGATAAGGCATTGAACTTTAACCTACCTGCATCTGCTTTAGTCCATTTTCCAGTGCGTTCTGCGTGATCGCATGGCTTTTCATAGTCCTGGTCTGTGGCCAGAGGGGGTTTGTTGGAGGCTTCAGCCACAATATCAAGTATTTTTTAACTTAATTCTGCTAAGCGCACCTATCTCTGTCACCGTCGATCTCTATCCTCGTAATGTATTTCCTAGTAAGTGGTTTCTGACCATCGCCGTGAAGTCTGGACACGGTGAAGGGTATCGGAGTGCTTCTTGGTTCACTGAAGCCACTTTTTCTTTATAACTCCTCTCTTTTTGTTTCACATTATGAACCTCAACTTGAACTTCTGGGTCAGACTCTGGAAACCCCACTGAGGGAGACGAATTATCCAGTGAGCATATCATGGTGCAGTTCATGAAGAACAACACCTTGTCCCCCGTGGTACGAGACGTCTCTGAAGCACATGACGAGAAATATTGGAGGTGAGTGTCTTGCAGGCTGGGAAAGGGTAAAACCCTGAGGTGTCCTGATTATAAAACACATGTGTATCTGTTGATTTACATGTGTGTGTACCAGGACTTCAAGCCTATTGTCATGGTAAACTAAGACAGGATGGGAGTCACAGAACAGCCAGGTCTGTTGCCTGACAGATTTTGACCTGTATTGGAAACAATTCGCTGTGTTCCACTCAGAGATGTCCACTCACTGGCCCACTTTGTTTCTATTTACTTACTTACTTTTATTTATTATTATTATTATTATTAACCATTTTGAATGAGTATTGCCCTTCACAGTCTTGTTAATCATCCAGTCTCCTGCATCAAAGTGTTGGGATCCACATGGGAGATGGAATTATTGGCC